GAACTGTCCTACTACATATGGAGGACAAGACTAGAGCCCCATGTGCATAAGCATGACTGACTAGAGAATCAGGTGCCTCTGTGTGTGTCAGAGATTGATGTATCTTCCCCTCCCATTTTGCTCCAGGCATTGACACCAACCATTAATCTGCTCTATGTGTGTGTTTGTACACGTGCTGATCTCAAATTTATGGAGCAGGTATTTCGGGTGCACAGGGGTGGCAGGGGGATAGGTATCACTCCTGTCTCAATTCTGCCGACAGAATCAGAATGACTTTGCTGGCTTCTGTCCGTCACTGACAATTGGGACCTACAAGAGAGGAGGAATAATTCAATCTGGTCAGATGGTTTTGGCTTCAGAGCACACTGTCCTAGAAGTGCCCTGATACTATGTGGCCTCTACTTTGTTAAGACGGACTGTATTCACATTACTCAACCCAGAATCGTGAATTCTTTAGGAGGGGAATGCCCAGCCCTGCCCTCCTGCCTTTCTTGGCTTCAGTACTGGTATGAAGAGCTGACCTCCTGCAAATAGAGGTTGCTCTAGGGAGCAGTTGCCTGAAGATATTCCATGTCTTACAGAATGGAGGTATGGGGGACTCTAATTGGTGACATGGTGAAAAGGAGCACAATGAGATTCAGAGCTCTGTGGTCACAAAATTCTGAGCCCAGAATTCATTTTGTAGGCGTTGAAGAATTGGATAGAAGAAAGCCCCCAGCTTCGACATCTAAAGCCTGAAGCACTGATGGGGCGAGGGAAAAGAAATCAGAAAACTGGTAAGGGAGCTTTGCATTGTGAAGACAGCCTGTTGATTCTGAAGATCTCAGTGCTAGAATGTCACGGGGCAACAAAACTCTGTAGAAGGTCTATAGACTGTGCAACCTAAACAAGTTTATACAGTTTCTTACAAGCAAAGAATCTGTGGTATATTCAGGATCCTAGACAGTAACCTTAGTTCGTAGAATTTTAGAATTTTTATGGTATGACTCAGATTTCCACTTGAAACGTCTGGGGTAGGGGGGCAACATAGTATGCTGCTTTTTTTTTTTTGTTTTGTTATTTCAGGTATCATTGTTCTACAGTTACACAGAAGAGCCTGCATATGGTCAGGGTCACATGCTGCTCATTCCCCTCTTCTCTTTTATGCTTCAGAAGAAACTAGAGCTCCTGTTTTTGCACTAACCATAATTAACTATAACATCTGGCTTTTAGAAATGATGGCTTAGCTAAATCTATCGTTAGTCAGATTTGCTAAATATGTCTGAATATATTTGAAGCTTTAAGGGTTATAAAGTTGTTCTCTGAGGGGAAAAAGGAGTTTACATTCTCAGGAACCTGGATGCTTCCACTTTTCTGTACAATTTTTTTTATTTCTTAAGCATATTCATAACAGTGACTGAAAGCCTGATTTAATTGATAACTTGTATTCTTTTCTTCTCTTTCAACCTAATTTAGGCATGACCCTCCCAAATCAAAAAAGTGTCTTGGACACTTTCAAATCTAATGGGGAGAGCAAGATGCTCATAGCTACTTCTGTGGCTGATGAAGGGGTTGATATTGCACAGTGCAATCTTGTCCTTCTGTATGAATATACAGGCAACGTCATTAAGATGATACAAGTCAGAGGTAAGTTGGCATTGGCAGTGCTCTTCCATGAGAACATGAACTAGTTCATTGTAATGGCCAAAACAGTAGTCATATAAAGCTGCCCAGAGGTTAGACTACCAAATGTGTGATTTTCCAGTTTGCAATAGGGTAATGCTAGGTAGAAATAAATTTTTTCGGATTCTGTGAGCCTGTATCTTTCACCAGATATAAATGGGCTTATGGGACACAGCCACAGAAGTGTTTGTTACTGAGTGGATAAAGAATGGCGTACAGTTCTGTCGACAACACAAAAGAAAAAGAGAACTAACAAACGTGTTATATGTTCACTTGACAAATAACCATGTTATATAATCTTTGACATGGAATATTTTGGACTAGAACTCTACTGGGCTCATGGAATGTTTGCAGGAGAGAGCTCAGGAAAAAGGCCTCCTAGTTATAGTCTGCCATTTCTGTCTTTGCATATCTCTTCTCAACAAAATAATGCTTTTTTGGGATTCTTCAGCTTTGTGGGGTCAAAGAAGGTAAGGCCTCTGGTGGAGGTACCATCGTGTCCTTTGTCCTGCCAGGCATATGCCAGCCAAAGTGGAAAAAAAAAACTGTGCATGTGCATGTAGAGGGGAACATTTACTAATTGGTGTGGTTCATTACTGTATATCTTCATCGTATAATATATACAGTGTATAATACATCTACTATGTAATAGTGTATCTAACAAATCTGCAGTTTTAAGTTATATGATCTTGACCTGAGTATGTGTCTAAAAGGTAGGAAAGGAAGGTGGAAGCAGAAATGCACAGTATGAAAGGAGCCTGTAGGACCTAATGCAGTCGTTCCCAGCCTTTAGTAACTCAGATGTTCTTGGACTGCATTTCCCAGAAGCCTTCAGTATCAGCTGTGCTGGCTGGGGTTTCTGGGAATTGCAGCCCAAGAACACCTGGTTTACCCAAGGTTGGAAACCACTGCTCTAATGGACTCGATTTGTCCAAATACTATGCTTAATTTTTTTGTATTTGCTTCACACCAGAGTTGGGGAAACTGTTCTGCCAGATGTCGCAGGCTAGAACTGCTGGCAGATCTGGATGGTGTTGAAGAAAGTTGGGAGTTCAAGAACAGTGTAGTGTAGTGTTGTGATTGAAATGTTGGGTTGGAACTTGAAGGATAAAGCATCTCTCACCCTCAAGAAAGGATAAGACTCACTGGGTGGACTTAGACCAGTCTCTCAGCCTGACCTGGCTCACAAAGTGGTTGTAAGGGTGAAGCAGGGAAGAGGTGAATCGTGTGTATCATCTTGAGCTCCACTGGAAAAAAAAAATAATTTTTTTCAATTAAAAAAACACAACAACATCTGAAGGGCTACAGGTTTAACCCACTTTGCTCGGTGTTATCTCTACATAGGTTGGTTCCACCTCCTTCGAATAAGAGCCAGTGGCCAAGGAGGTGGGGGAGGCAACTGTTATTTCTATCTTTCGTCTTTTGTTGAATAAACTTGTGTATGTGCCTCCTCCAGGTCGTGGAAGAGCAAAAGATAGCAAGTGCATCCTTGTGACCAGCAAGAAGGAGCAGGAGGAGAACGAGAGATATAACATAATGAAAGAAGCAATGATGAACAAAGCCATTAAGGAAGTGCAGGATTGGAAGGAGGAGGTGTTTGCGGAGAAGGTGATTCCTCTTCTCATTTGACCTCTGAAGGGAATCCTGTAGCTTAGAAGTTGGGACTGAGGCAAGCAGAAGCCCCATACAAGAGAGTGGGTGTTGTTGCTTTTTTTTTTTTTTTTTTTTTTGCTCTGTCCGCTCATTCCTGCTGCCCAAGCTGGCATGTCATTGGATCATTTCTTGTGGTGAGCTTAAAGAAGCAGCACCCAGAACTGTTCTGTGAGCAATCAGTTTAGATTTGTTTATATTTTCTGCCTGGGGTTCTGAAGGCATCTGGAAAAATGGATTAGCTCCTGAGTGTCGCCTGGTCATGTGACAAAAATTAAGAAACGAGGCCTTCTCCAGCTTCACCTCCAGTTCCTTCCCATACCTCTTTACCCAGGAAGCTCCCTTTCCTTTGAGCGGTTTCAGTTAGTGGTCAGTTCTTATGAAGTACCTCAGCCACCAACTCTCCTTTCTGCACAAACAGTTTGGCCATGTCTTTCGTTTTTCGCCGATATCTCTGCAATACCACCCTGGCATTTGATTGTAAGGTTGATTCTGGGGTGTTGTGGAGGCAGAGTCTGCCCTACCCTAGTTAGAGGCTGGTGGGGAGCCCTTGGGTCCTTATCATTCTCCATTCTGACACGACCCACTCAGTTTTCAGAGATCTGCGGGTCTTGTTACTTTCTTTTCCCCTCCTGTCTCAGGTGCGTGCTGCCTCCCTAACCACATTGCTTGTTTTAACGTGGTCTGTGCTTGCTTTGGATGGAACTGGGGATGAAGTCGAGGAGAAGCTACTTTAATGGAGGTCCCGTCACATGGTTTTGCCTCTTTTGGGTGGTACTTAGAAGGCAACCTGCTCAGCCCAGAACAGCCCTTCATAGTTAAGTGCCAGAGTACAAAAAAAAGAGGAAAATGCTGCTTTTGCACTTTTCCCAGCTTCAGCAGTGTTCCCTGCCAAAGCCTTTCACATAAAGTATCAACAAATCAAAGCAAGCATTTAAAAATTAAAAGTAGCCAAGTGAAAATCTTAGTCATGTGTTGGAAACTTTCAAAAATACAGTGGGGAAGTGAATGTTCCCACAATCTGTCTGGGTACCATCAGTACTTGGGCTATATTTGCCTTCTTAGGAAATGTCATAGATTGGGGGGTGACCAGACAAGGCCCTGTCATGTTCCCCCCCCGCTTCCCCACCCCACCCCCCACCCCCAAACCTTGGTGGTGAGGTACAGAACAGATCTTCCACTTGGGATCTCAACCAACAGCAAGTCCATAGAAGAGCAAGTTTTCCTCCAAATATCCTTTTTACCATTTGCCTTTCAGATGTCTTTTCGATCTGCCTTTTACTTTCGTAACTTTCCCCCACTTAGATAAGCAGCTTGCAAAAGAAGCAAAAAAAGCTGCAAGATTCCAAGAAAAAGGAGCTCCAGCCAAAGCCACTGGTGGGCAATAGGCGGCTGTTGTGTGGGAAGTGTAAATCACCTGCCTGCGACACAGACGACATCAGAGTGATTGAGGTAGTGTTAAAATGGAGCATTGCGGCTTTTACACTGTTTCGGGTCGTGGGGCGAGGGGTGAGGATTCGTAGTCTTGCATATTCTTTGCTATACATTCTAGAGCAGTTGTCTGTAAAAGGTGGTCTTTAATGAAAACTTTTAACCTGTGAGCAAAACCTCAGGCAGTGGTGAAGGAAGCTTCCAGGCATTTGGGGGCTGTAGAGTCTCTGGATGCACTCACACTGGACTCATCAACAGTTTACACTCTTAAGGCTCTCTAAGGGGTGAGCATGTTGAGGCCTGGAGGCTGTGTGGCTTCCCTGCAGACCCCAGCAATATTTTAGGGCTCCTCAATCACAGATTATTTATTTATTTATTGGACTTATATACCGCCCCATAGTGCTACAAGCACTCTCCGGGCGGTTTACAATTTAATTATACAGGCTACACATTGCCCCCCCAGCAAGCTGGGTACTCATTTTACCGATCTCGGAAGGATGGAAGGCTGAGTCCACCTTGAGCCGGCTACCTGGGATTTGAACCCCAGGTCGTGAGCACAGTTTTAGCTGCAGTACAGCGTTTTAACCACTGCGCCACGAGGCCACGAGATTATGTCCCCTGTCCTGTCTCTTAGGCCCAGACCTCATTCACCATACAGGCAACAAAGGGAGATGGAATGCCTAATGACTGTATCAAAAGTAGAGAGGGAAACTTTGTCAATGTCAAAGCTGCTCTTGCCCATTAGCCAGTAAAGATATTATCTGGACCTAATAATCTTTTTAAAAGGTAGCATGCCACTGCTTTTTGTTCCAGGTATCCCACCATACTGTCCTCGGTGACTACTTTAGGAACCGGTATGTGATAAAATCTCACAAAAGGCCAATATGCTATGGCAATTTTGAGAAGAAATCAAAGATCTACTGTAAGGAATGCCATCATGACTGGGGAATCTTAGTAAAATACAGGACGCTTGATGATCTACCCATCATTAAAATTGAAAGCTTTTCGGTGAAGGATGTTGCCACAAGGAGACAGTCTTATTTCCGGAAATGGAAAGATGTTGATTTTGCAATGAGAGACTTTGATATTGAAGAAATGCCAGAACAAGATGAATAAAGTAATATTTATATGCCATTAATAATAATAACGTGCCATCAGTTCTGACTTAAAGTGATTCCCTACAGATTTTTTTAAGGAAGACCATACTTGGAAGTGGTTTACCATTCCTTTCTTCTGAGGGCATCCTGGGACTGTGAAGGTTGCCCAAGGCCACACAAGCTGGCTGTTCTGGAGTGCACTGTGGGGATTCAAACTGCCAACCCCTGGCTCCGCAGCCAGAAACACCCTGCTGTTTTAAAAAGATAACTACTGGCTTATGGAGGGGAAGGCCTTTTTTTACTTAACAGTACAGTGGTGCCTCGACTTACAAACTTAATTGGTTCTGGAACTCTGGTAGTAACTCGAAATGGTCGTTAGTTGAAGCACCATTTCCCATAGGAATATATTGAAATGCAGTTATCCATTCCAGCTGAAGGAAAAAATCACAAAAAACCACCACAAAAACACTGCAAGACCCATCGGAAAAGCTATTAATCCATTCTGGCCGAAGGGGGTGGGGGAAGAAAAGCAAACAAACCACACAAGACTCTTCGGAAATGCAAAAATAGCAAAGCAGAAAGCAAACAAACCATGCAAGACCCATCGGAAATGGGGAAAAAGCAAAGCAGAAAGCAAACAGTCTGTGCAAGACTCTTCGGAAATGCAAAAATAGCAAAGCAGAAAGCAAACAATCTGTGCAAGACCCTTCGGAAATGGAAAAAAAGAAGAAGCAAAAAGCAAACAAAGCCAACAAGACCTATCGGAAATGGGGGGGAACCCCAAAAAGCAAATAAACCCCGCAAGACCCACCAGAAATGGGGAAGAAAAGCAAACAAACCCCGCAAGCCCCATCGCAAATGGGGGGAAAAAACCCAAAAAACAAACCCTGTAAGACCCATCACAGCATAGAAACATAATCCCACCACCCAGCCCAAAACCACATTGCAAAACCCACCCAGAACCGTTTTTAAAAAGTAGAAAGCAGCACCTTATCTTACCAGGCAGTCCGAAGCCTCCTCGAATTGCACACTCTCAAACCACTGGGGCGAAAGAGCTACAAAGAAGCAGCCTCTTTGCCACCAGTGGTTAGCAATTTGAATTCCCCGCCTTTTTCTGGTTGTAACTTGAAGCTCCGGCCGCAAATCAAAACAAAATTTTGCAGCCGGAGCTGGTCGTAACTTGAAATGGTCATATGTCGGGACGTTCGTAAGTCGAGGCACCACTGTATATGTTGGAAATTTGCCTTTTTGTGAGTATAAATCCAATGTAAGGTAGGTTGTCATTACCTGTCTATTTGTCAATACCAACTGATCAAATATCCCTCCTGCAAAGCCATTAAGGAAAAAAATTTACAATGTGACATCAGGAAATTCAGAGTTAAATAGCTTATAGCTTTGGTCCGTACATGTCTGAGGTCATTGTTTTGTAAAATATCTGTTTATTGCTTGATCTGGCAACATTAAATACTTACTTGCAACTTGCAACTGTTGGAAGAATTTTGTTGCTGTATCTAATAAGATATTGCTTATATCAAAGTGAGTCTAGAGAAACATTTCTGTAGTGTTTAGATAAGCCTGTAAAATGGGTTACTCTGAAATAATGTATTCTGCTGAGATTACCTGCCAATGCATAGTTGAACCAGGACTTAATTGGCAACAAGGACACATGGGTTCAAATACACAAGTCCTTGTGTTGCCCATTATGTTGTCAAGTTTTCCAAATAAAAAAAACATGACCAAAACAGCAACAAAAATGCCACACCTTTAAAACTTTCCAGGGAGCCAAACATTCCTGGAACAAACTGTCTATGTCTGTTTTACTACTGGTAATCATTCTGATTAAAACTATTCCAATACGTTATGTAACAAATATTAGAATGTACTGTATGCCTTTGGGGTTTTCTCTTTGCAGAATTTGCTACATATTCGTTTGTATTTAGGTGTGACTACATAGTGGGAAAAATGGAAATTGATCCACCATGAAGCAGCACCCACAAAAAGATGGATTTCCCCAGGTTAATCTGCTTCAGCCAACCACAGAGGGGTCAGCAGAGAGGGAAAGAGAGAGGAGGAGGAGGAAGCCAGGACTCAAAAAGGTCACTCTGCTGTGGCCATCCAAGTTTGCAGGAGGTACAGTTAGAGCAGAGCTACCCTAAGAAGCCAGGAAGGAAACTGATCATTTCTTCCTCCCCCCCCTCCCCCGATCACCTAGCCACCCTAGTGCTAGGGCAGCAAGGCTTTAAAAGAAACTGAAAGGGAGAATGGGGAAAGGAAAGGGAAACAGATGCAGGCACCAGGTTTGGGGAGGAGTCGTTCCCCGCTGCCCTGCCTTTCTCACTACTGCTGTAGCCACCGATGTAAATGCATTCAGTTCCAAAAAAGTAGAAACCTAAGTGACAGGCGAAAGGAGGAGGACCTCGGGCTGGTTCACCTTGACTTAAACATCATGTAGTCAATGGAAAATAAGGCGTACCTGACTGTCCCAGTCCTGGAGTATTTTCTGCATTGTTGTTTGTCATTGTGGCCACATCCTTTATATTGACATTAACAGGATGAATTATTTTGGAATCATGATTTTAATACAAATTGTGCTGTATTTTGTGTCAGCATTCAACTTTTTTTTGTCTAATGGCTTTCAGTTGCTTAGCTTTCATCAAACTGACAATTAGCTGTGTGTCTATTTTGGCAGAAAAACAGGAAATTAAGGGGGCTTGAGTGTGTGTGGGTCCCTCTGATGCACCCCACTGTTCACAGTGGTGGTCCAGATTTTTAGTATCCTATACCCCACACACATACCAGGGAGCATGGGGTTGTACCAAACTTCCTTTCAACATGCAGAAATAAAAAAACAGAACAAGAAAGGCCAATACATGGGAAAAAAATTTTGGAAAACAGATTTAAATTTTATTATAAATTGTTTTTAAACCTTCCCCACTTCAAAATTTTTAGTTAAAGCAAACATGACCGAAATCCTGTTTCTTAGTGTAGTAAGCTGCAACTAGAGTAGGCCTGCTGGATCAGAGGGGATTTGGTAAGTCAACTCCTCTGTAAGTTACACTGATAGAAATGGGCATACTGCAGTTGCAACTTACTATTACAATTTCACCTAATATACTTTAAAGATTTTAAACAGCAGCTATGCCTTTCTCCACTTTTACTCTAGAATAAGTGCAGCAGCTCTGAACTGAACTGGGACCTAATATGCAGAAAGGGTAGGGCCTAAATGTAAGAATGTAAAGAAATCTGTGTCAGTGAATACAGATACCACCCTTAGAGCTCCTATACTTAGTCTTCAGTAAAAATAAAAAAAAGAGACCCAGTTGCTAGCAACATCTTTCAAGTAATGTCTGCTCTGGCCCTTTTTCTCCATGATTAAGAAGAAGGGGACGCAAGACAGAATGTCCAACTTCTTAGGTCAGAAGTGCCAAGTCATTTAATCATTTTAGCAGTATTAGATTTTTAAGGAAGGAGTCTTAACTGATTTACAACAAAGAATGGTTATTGACTATTAATCTCTCAGACAGATCAGAAAAGCTTGTCAGTTGTTGGATATAAAACACGGGAAAAATCACAATGGCTGGATTTTACTTATTGCAGCATTCTGTCGATCAACGTTTCTCACTCCATCTACTCATACACAACAGACGGATAAAATAAGGTAACAAAGGCAGGATGTGTTAAGACACATACACAGAGATGGCAAGGTGCCTAGGCTCACCTTCTAACTGTGTAAACAGACACTTCAGTAATGCAACCCAGACATACTTTGTTCACTTTAAATTTCATACACAACAGACAGTTTTCCATAATTACTGTGCATTCTCATAACAAAAAGGCAGGTTTCACAATAAACTAGACACTGGCACATTTTAGGACTAGGATGCCATTTTGCGAATCATATAGTTCAAGATGCCACCGTTATGGAAGTACGTGAGTTCCACGTCTGTATCAAACATCATGATCGCTTGGAAGGTTTTCCCGGTATCCACCTGTGGATAGAATTACAAAAACAGAACATGCCATTTGCAAGTATTCTCACTCTCTAGTGCTTTCCTAAACACTGCATAATGGAGATTGCAAACACCCCAGTATGTCATCACTGAAAGACTGCAATCCCCAGTGTGTTTTTAAAAGATGGCTCCCTAAACAACCTTTCCCTCTGCCATGGTGCACTGATGTAATGCCACCACCTGGACATTGCTTACCTTGATCTGGACGGTCATTCTGGGCACCAACTCCTGAGGAAAGAGGATTGTGTAACGTTCCTGCCCTGTCAGCCCAAGACTTTCAGCATTTTCACCAGGCAAATACTGCAGAGGAATCACACCCATTCCCACCAGGTTGCTGCGATGAATCCGCTCATAGCTCTCAGCAAGGACTGCCCTGATGCCCTGAGAAAGAACATCAAGTATTAGGTAAAAAGCCTGTTCAAAAATATAGTAAGTCGCATCACGTGCATTTAAAATGCTCATAAAATTGCAAAGGATCAGCTACACTTAACTTTCCACCCCAAAAAGGCAGCTGTCAAACAACACACACAGACACAGAAATAAGACATTTGTATTGCTCAAAAAAGATAAATAAGGTACAGGATTTTTTTAAAAATGAGGCATTGGAAAATCCAATGTGCATCCTGTGGTCCGATTATATCCAACTGAATAACAATGAAACTGCAAGGTAGAGAACTAGATTGGTACCTAACTGTATAATTAGGTTGGAGCAAGTCTAGTAACAAAACAAGCTAGCATGTTGTGTTAGAACTGCTTTTGTAAAATTTCAAATATGTACGCCATAATTTCAGAAAATAGTAACCAATATATTAAACTAAGAACTGATTATCTGCTGCCAAACCAAGTTACATTAACATCTCCCTTCTGATGTTAGAAAAACATTCCCCCACCCTTTATTCTATAGTGCTGAAATGTTCTGTGTTTTTGGGGGGTGCTGCTGAAGGCAATCCCTAACTGATGTAAAAGAAGGGGGGGTCCACAGGTTTCAATATGGGAGTGGCAAGTGCAACTCCCAACAGGAATGGAGACGTTGGGAGCTGCATTTGCAATTCCCAACGTCTTGTGTTCCTGTTTATGCAAGACAAAATAAATTTTTTCCTAAGCCATTACTTTAACCATTTGCAAATAAATGTGTTTTGTGTTTTCATTAGCAGTCTTCTTGATTGGCATTCCAAATTAGTTTTTTCTGGTCCTAAAATAGGATAATTATGGGCTGACAAATAGGCATGTTATTTTCAGCTTTGCTGGACAAAGTTCCCCGGAAGTCTTGCAGAAAATTGTAGCTCTGCTTGGGCTTTGCAGCTCAATCTTGTCCAAAGGCAGATGCTCCTTCTTGCCATTAAAGTAACAGACATTTCAGAAAGACAATAATGCTGAAGTACAATATTAGCTATTTGGAGATTTCAAAGTTCAAGTGTGTTGTCATCCGCCATGGAAGCTTTTAAGATCCATGTACAATAAACTTCAATACTAAAATAGGACAGATATATGAAAAACCACCAGTTGTAAAACTGTCCACTCACCAGCAGAAAAGGGCCCTTGGCAGCCCAGTCCCGGGAGCTTCCGGAGCCATACTCCTTCCCAGCCAGCACAATGAGTGGGTGGCCTTCTTGCTGGTACCTCTCCGAAGCATCAAACACATCGAGCTATAAATGCACAAGACAACTGATGTATGTCAATGAAGTCACATCTATGACATAGTGTCTTCAGCAGATAAAACTACTTCAGCCTCCACATAGGGCTTGGAAACCTTATTTCCACAGGATTGTTATTCCGAAAATCCACCAAGGAAAGTAACATTTCAAGCTTTGGTTCCTTGCTTAGTGTGAAGAAAAGCTCTACACAAGGATATGGGGTCAAAAACTAACAAATGGCAGCAAGGCATATCTTTCCCAGCACATAAACTGGTCTGATGGGTTAAAAGAAATTCTTAGCGAGACTATTTTCACAGAAAGGGGATCTTTCACAAAGGGCAACTCTCTACATGAAGGGAGAGAAGCTCTGAGCTTTGTGGCTCCACTCTCAATGTCTACATGTTAATCATGAGCTTGAAACCATGCAGGGGTGGTATGGTTCAGCTTCTAAACTACCAATAGAGATGGGGGTATTCGTCTACAAATACCCCCACGGATACCCCCATCTCTAACTACCAAAGAGCTGGCTGCACTTATTCTAACTACCAAAATATTGCTCAACATTCAGTGGGACAAAACCACAACATAATAGGTTCATGCTTCTGGGAGGCTCCTAAGAGAGCAGATCTGCTTTAAAGTAGGACAGACGTTCCCCATGCACTATGTTTTAGAGCAAAAATACTTAAAAGTGTGTTATGTGTGTATGGTGGGTGTCACTGCTGCTGCTTTGCCAATTTCAGCAGTGGCAGAAAAAGCAGACAGAGAACAACATGTTCTCTGCACACTGCCTTTTTCTGGGTTAAAGGAATGGACCTGCCCTATTTATTTCTTGTCTGGACAGAAGACAGCTATGAAAAGACATTAATCATACATTCAAATTGCCACGTATCAACGACTTCAGTATAGCAAAGCAGTGAATGCAACATTTTAAGAAAATGTCTTCACTGAGACATAGCCTAAGCGAAAAATACCACTAAATTCTGGCTGAATTTCACTGGTAGATACACAATGGCACCTAAATGAAATGAACTTTACATCTACTAGATGGGTTCTGCTGGAGATCTGCAAGTTCTCAACTTTTCTACCGGTAACTGCTGATTATTTTCTTTTTAGTTTACGCACAGTAGGATGAAGTGTGAGTATAAAAACCCCACACAGATTATGAATAATGTTTTCTCTTGATACATATATGTGTGTGCCAGGAGATAAAAGAATAAGCATTCAGTCACAATAAACTTTTAAGAACGTTTACTAAAAAGAAAGAAACAAACAGTACTTGAACATTTGATTTGGTATAGTTTTGGTCTGTGGTCTGACAGACAGACGTCTTATAACCGTTTCAGAACAGCCACTAATCAGATGCTCATACCTTCTTTTATAACATACTAACAGCAGACACTTAGCAGAAAACAGCTCTAACTGAACAGCAACATTTCAATAATATACAAGCCTCACACTGACTGACACTTCTTATATCTGACAGTTAACCCTCTTCACTGACACTAGGCACACACTGATTGGCTTCACATATTCTCTTATGCAAATAATAATAATCTCATTTATACACAAATATACACATGTTGGTTGCACAATATCTTCATATTCTATATTCTCTTATGCAAATAATAATAATAATCACATATATACACAAATACACATAGACATGTTGGTTGCACAATATCTTCATATTCTAACAGTAGCAAAACTGAGTGGCCTTGAAATAAAAAATCTTCTCTTTCTGTCATTCCCCAAGAGAATCCCAGTGGAGCCGCCACCTCAGAGAAACGTTTTTGCGCAGGCTTTTTATTTCTTTCACTTTCTAATTATCCCAAACACTATAGATAGGTAAGAGGCAAGAAGATTAGCTGGGAGAGCAAGTGCTTCAATCCCTGTAGCTTTTCTTGACAGGGGGATGTCAACACAAAAAGGGAGAATACTCACGGTTTCACCAGATGGGAAGTGGACGGTTTGCGGGGCCTGCTTGTTCAGAAACTTGTTGAATAAGCGTATATTCGCAAAGGTGCCTCTTGCCATGACAGCGTCATTGCCCCGACGTGAGCCGTAAGAGTTGAACTCTCGCGGAGTGAGGCTATCAAGATAAAAAGGAAGTAGTTCTCGGTTTCAAAAACTATAAGCCTTTCATTTGTAAGACTTACTTCATCCCAGAGTCAAAGCAGAATCCAGGTCTCCCTTCTGGCTGTAAAAAAACTAGGCTCTTTCCTCAGCTTCTGCAGAGAATGTAACCAACTGCTGAGGCTTAATTTGCTTAATCTTGAAATGAAAGCAGGGATAATGCTCTCTTGAGAAAGAAAACTGCAGAATTAGCAAGGACAGGGCAGGTAGGTCTAAAAGTATTGGTCATGAAATATCTTTTACTAGGGTGCCTTAAAGGTCACAAAAGGTGAGCAAGCTTTGGATTTCCTCAGAATTACCCATCAGGCTGCTGCTCCACACTGGGGATGGGGGCAATAAAGGTAAAAAAATGAAGGGTTTTTTTTAAACCCTCTTAGCTTGTGTTTTGTAGGTTCATAACACGGAACACAGAATGACTTGTGAAGAGGCTGCCCTGAAAAGCAGGGCAGAATCACCAAAAAGGACTTTCTTTTAAAAAAAGGAAGACATGTCTGAAATAAATTTGCATAGGCTAATTTAAGTAATTATATGCAGATATCCCCATTAATGATTACTGTAATTAAAGTGAAAACACACTATTGCTGACTGTGGCTAGGCAACTACCTTGGCACAGAGCATTCCAGAGAAATGCGTTGTGGAAGAAGCAATGGGAATAAAAGCGGTGCATGGAGTGAGATATAATAATAATAAAATGCTTATTTGTTAACCCTAGAATGGGCAGCCTTCAATGGGATATACCTCAAATAAATGAATAATGCACAGTGTTTATATCTCTCTGAAATGCTCTATGCCTTTTATTGTCTGTGGCTTACTTGAAAATGAATATATAAAGAAAGAAAATAAACAGAGGTCACTGTGGTTATCTACAAATGTATCTAGTTGGGCAACAATCAGTTATTTCATAGAAATGACCTGAAAAGTGCTTTCAGAATGTCCACTTCTTGGGACTAACCTCACATCTGAGGCTCATACAGAACTGAAATGCCAGTCAATATCCTTCCAGCCAGGCACCACTGGTTATATCAATATGTGTGCGGTTTGCATCTTTTCTTACAAAATGACTCCTCCCTCCCCTGATGTATTTTATTTTTTTTTTAAAAAATGAGAGAGGCTCGATGACATGCATTTATAAATCCAAGCCTCTACTTTCCCTGCTTGGCCAGGGAAACTTGTTGGAAGAGGGGGTGGTAACTTACATGTCACCAAAATCAAGGACAGCTCTTCTAAGGGAGGACTGATTTTCTAAAGGAGGCCTTATGGTCACCTAGTTTGTCTCCCTCCAGCTGCCAGCTAACTCTCCAATGCAAATATGAAGGTAAGGGAAGTAACATTCTCTCCTATAGCCTAAAATATATGTATTGATGCATGTAATTTACATGCCACCTTTCTCCCCACAGGAGGGGAGAGAAGTTCCTTGTTCATGCTGTAACTGACCTTCAGAAACAACTTGCCCAAACAAGGTTACAAGTTTTCAGCATGTGGTGCATGGCCATATGCTGAATTGGCCATACTGGCAGGGCCAATGATGGGCATTAAAGTCCCACTCATCTGGATGAGATTTTAACCAAATACACTCCCCCCCCCAGCTAAAACCTCCACTAGCTGTTTTTTTTTTGTTTTTTTGTTTTTTTTAAAAAAAAGGTGGCATGGGCAGGCGCAGAATCATATAATACGGATCTTGTTTGTAACCTGAAAAATCATACTCCCCCCCCAGCTAAAGCCCCCACTAGCTGTTTTTTGTTTTTGTTTTTTTAAAAAAAGAGGTGGCATGGGCAGGAGCAGAATCGTATAATATGGATCTTGTTTGTAACCTGAAAAATCATACTGTGATGTGTTGTGTACTTTGGGAGGAAGTAATAGCAATGATACAAGCAATCTGGTTCAGATAATCTAAGGCACTTTATATGAGAGTCAAAGGTCATTGACACAATAAGCAGAATAATAAATTGAACAAAGGAACATCATCCCCTAGGTTTCCACCCCACCCCGCCTGCCCCGTCCCTCCAACAACCTACTTGACTCACCCTCTACTGGTTAAGTAACGAGCAGCTGGGCTATTCCTGGCTATATTCCCAGCAGGAGATATATGATCAGTGGTTACAGAATCACCAAGATTGAGCAGCACGTAGGCATCAACTATGGATTTAGGGGGCTGAAGTTCCAAAGTCTGAAAGAGCACCACACAAATAAATATCATTACCAAATTGCCCCCCCCATCACTTTCAAAGCTGTTGACATCAGTTCAAAACAGGAAAGGCTGGAGGTCAGTAGTGAAGCACATGATTTGTCAATTGAAAGTTCGGACTGTCTAGGAAGGGCAAGGAAAGAATTCCTGGATAAAGAAAAATTCATGAAGAGCAGCTGCCAGTTGGTGTTGAGGGCATTGGGCCAGAGAGGTCCGTGATCTAACTCAACAACAAAAGGAGCTTCCTCTGTTCTTCCCAGCTGTGCACCTGCACAAAGGACAGCAGGCACAGACCGACCAATGTGGACTTTTGCAGCCATTCAAACAACAAAGAAAGTAGGCATTCTTGATCTAATTTCAAAACACTACCTAGATATGCCTGCCTAGTTTTCGTGCCAGCATTGACTGTTCTCTCCTGGCGTTAGATTTCTGCAGAAATGGGGGTTAGAATATTTATGGACAAGCCCAATGTGTCTCGCTTGATTTGAGTTAAAATCCCATGAGTCCCCCAGTGCCTGCTCTTTTCTCTATGGACCCCTCCTCTCTTCTGCCTGATCTCTCTCACACCTTCTTCTTCTTGGTACTCATCCATCGTACCTGGGAAATATAACTCCCAGAATCCCTAAACCAGTATGGTTCCCAATTCATGGATATTTGAAGCCCCTGTCCATAAAATTACAACATAACTCAAAACATAATGATTTATGAACTCAACTAACCATTTTTCTTTTCACAATGATGGGCCATATCATTCTGTGGGCAAGAAAAGATAACTGAGGTGCCCCAAGATGATTTTAGCATACACCACATTGCTCATATTTCAAATAAGACAACCGCATCCATCTCTCCCATATCTTCAAAAGCTGATGAAAATCTCTCTACCCATTTATGGGAAGCTAACTTAGCATGCCTTACAAAATGATTTTCATGTGTGTCACATATAATATTTTCAGTCAGTCAATTTCAAACCTACACTTCAAATTTGGTGAAAACTTTCCAGCCATTTCTGAGTGATGCAGTAAAAAAAAACCTGACAGACAGAACCTTGCTTTCTGTGGTAAGCATAAACTATGGTAAAGCTAATAGTGGCTATACTTCTGATTCCATTTTTTAAACTGTGATAGAGGTACTTAAGATTACAATGTGGAGACTATAACCTGAATGCATTAACTTGGACATGGACTTTAATGAATGCATCACGTCAGCTGAAAACAGAGTAGATTGATGTTACTTGTATTTTTTTCTGCTAATGCAGCTTATATAATGGCACTCCAGTCTTCCCCTCTCTCCACCAGCAGTTATGTCCCTCTTTAACAGATGCCAGGTGCAGGGAAACAAGGGGCGGGGGAAGCCAATTATCAGCCATGCCGTCCAGGACAATCAACCCCAAAGAGTCCACAGTAATGCCTAACAGCAGAGTTGGGGACTGAGCACCCCAAGGGACAGGGCTGGCCCAAGATATTTTGCTCTCTGAAGCAAAGAGGGCACAGCCCCTCTTCAGTTTACAATACAGAACAGGACCAGACTGACAACTGGAGCTCACGTCAGCACTTATAATGTGGCATCCTCTACCACATCAGAGACAGCAGAGTAGTTCAGGAGGCCTCAAGTACATTGGGCAGCGCCTACAGCTTTATCTTCCAACAGAGGATCTCCTGCACAGGGAGCTCTGATGCGGAAAAGGCCATGGCTGCTCTCCGGCAGGGGCTACCTGAAACAGCTGCCTCACTGTGCTTAATGGTAGAGCTAAGAGGAAACATCTGTTCTGAAACGTATTTCATAGGAGAAAAGAGGTAGGGCAAAACCCTATGGGTAAGTCCTGTTCTGGGGCCGCATTTGGAGAAAGAATTTTTCAAAGGAACAAACCAGCAACACACACAAGCATGCATGCAGCATGCAATAGGAGAGTGTAGGATGGGAACAATAAAATAGACATTTCAGAAAGTACAGGGAGAAGAGAGAAGCAAAACCTGTTTACCAGATTCTCAAAAAATGGAGGAGATTTAATATAGGTTGATTTTGGATTCCAAGCGTATAACTTTTCTGATGGAACAGCTAACTCATTCCAAGATTTGTTCACCGTCTGGAAAAATAACAGAACAGAAAAAATATATAAATAGAACACATTAAAAATACTGTACAACTTTTTCAGAACTACTGACCAAAGGGTAGTTGGCCTAGGCTCTATATTACACACCAGGCTACTTTCAACAGAGTATACAGGACAACATGCCCTCCATTGCTTAGCAAATAGCTAAATCTCCAACCCTGTGCTGACATGCCTCGGAAAACTCCATTTTCACACTTCTTTTTTCAAGTGAAATAACTACTCAAAGAGCAAGCTCCTCACCTACTATGATCCTCATTTTTACAAACCAAGCCTTTTTTCTTAGGCAGAAGAACACAGACCATCCCAAGGGATATGCCTGCATGGCAAATGTACTTGCATCATATTTCCAGCAGATGATGACCAGTTCATATGAAATAGATGGAGCAAAAACATTCAGCTAGTCTCATGACTTCATTCCCTTGCTGTCATAAAGTAAATTAGGATTCCATATTGTCCATACTAAAAAATTACATAAAATCCAGGAACAACTTAAGTTTGTCACCAAGAAAAGCTGATTTCTGTGGTCTTTTTTTTTTCTTTCCCAAAATTCTGCATGTTTTCTTATTTTGGATAATTTATTTTGAAGTAGCTAACGACGAAAAATAGGACAGGATGAGGAATAACCTTAGGCTGCCCAACTAGTTCAGGCACCCCTTGACTTTCTCACAGTTCATCAGACACTATTCATACATTTCCAAGCACAAGGCCTAGAAACGTCCTTTTAAAACTACCACCAAAGTATGTGCAGATCCAAAGGGCACAGAACTCTGCAAGTCAATAGTATGTTGCAACTAGAGTTAGCCCATGGAATCACTGTGGATTTGATAAGTTCCACTGATTCAACAGGCCTACTCAAGTTGTGATTTACTACTGGATTTCAGCCAGTGCTTCTTCTGTTGTCCAGCTGTTCACATGAGAACAAAAGCCATGGGCAAATCCCACTGAGCTGGAAATTAGTATCAATAGCAAGAAGCACGAGCAGCACCCAGTATTCCATTTGTTAATGGTAACCCTCCTTAATAGTCTCAGGTAGGCTAGGAGCCAGGCGTCAATTCAATCAAATGTAATTTGATGGCAAGACACAACCAAGCTCATGGGCTTCAATTACAAGGCCATTTAAAGTAACTATTTGGGAGGAAAGTCCAGCAGTTTGACAGTGGGACAGATGGGCTTGGTTGCCAAACTTGTTTTCAGCTAAAGTGGAAGGTCACTTATCAGATACACTTTGGCAACTGGATCCCTGCACTGGCAGAGGGGTTGGGCTAAAATGAGTATTAAGGCCTTTTCCAACTCTTATGATTCTGTATATGTGTTCCGCCAAGTAAATTTAGCAGAATGTTTCATTAAGAACTAGAATGTTCTGCAAGGATGGTGAAAGCACTCGGGAAGAACATATAACCACTCTGAGGTTTTAATGTAAAGCATTACAGTACCTCTATTTTCTGGTACACTTCTTTAAACATCCCTGGGATGACATACTGACGCTCCACAGCCTGGATCTCGTCTCTTGTGGGCCAAACGTCTTTTAGAAATATCTTCTTTCCTTGTGCGTTTATACCTGAAGTAAATCCAGTGCATAGGCTTTAAATGACGACAAGGACACTAAACAAACCAACAAACCCTTTTCAATGTGCCTTATGAACACCTAGAAACTATGGCTCGGGTAAAGCATCAGATTAGTGGCTGATCCGGCCACAGAGCTAAGCAAAGCAATCACTTCTGACTCTGCACAGACCCTTTGCTCTCTGATTCATTCCAAATTTACCATTTTCAAAAGGAAATATTTGTTTCCAAGTGATACCTTACCTAGTGGTTCCCTCTCAAAGTCAATCCTTATGGTCCCAGCAATAGCATAGGCTATAACCAGAGGGGGGGAAGCCAAGTAATTTGCACGTGTGTTTGGATGGACGCGACCCTCAAAATTTCTGTTTCCGGAGAGTATGCCCACAGCGATGAGATCACCCTGTGTAAAGGGAAGGATACAAGACAGTGTGTATGTATTGGAAAATGAAGCTAGCTGCACCCACCCCATTAACCTCAGAGGTAAGAGAAAGAGCATCCCTCAGATTCAGACATTGTGTATTTTCCTTCAGAAAAAGAACTGATGTTCTCTTAAATCACTGGCTTCATGCTTCTTTCATTCTTCATAAAAGTACAAAGGACAACTCCAGAACCAAAAGATCCAGGCAGGGTGGATTTGATTTAAATCATAATTTAAATCACAATTTAATTTTTTTAAAAAATCAGGGTTTTTCACAATTTTAATTTAAAAAAAATGACTTTTTAAAATTTAGATCGTGATTTAAACCAATTCTTTTTTTAAAAAAAAGTCTTCCATTTTTATACACCCTGGTTCAGGTACTCATTTGACAGCAGGAATCACACGGTGTCTTGTAGCAAATTAAAGGCCAACACATTTTATTTGGTAGAAGCTTTTGTGTACTATAAACTACTTCCTCAGAGGCAACTATGAAAACCTGTGACAAACAGAAGTTGTTAGTTTTTAAAGGTGCCACAACACTCCTTGTTTTTGTTTCAATAGGCTAAAATGATTGCCCACTGTCCGACTTTAACAGCACATTAGTTTTAGTCTGGCTGACAGATTTTATTACTGTATAAGGGGCCGTGTTCACAAGTCTATGCAAATTCTGGCCATGGATGCTTCTCTGGCAATCCCAGGAAGCAGCAGAAACAGGTTGTTTTTATCCAGCTCTTGCGTATTCTGGGCTCTCATCTCTCTGGCAATCCCAGGAAGCAGAAGAAACAGGTTGTTTTTATCCAGCTCTTGCTTAAGGGGCATCACACACTTCCTGGGGGTGCGGCTGCCATGAACTTGGTGGGGTTACAAGTTGTACAGGTCTGTCTTCATTCCAACGGCAAAGGAGACAAAACGGTCTCATCTGAAACCTGCACCGTATCCCCTCCTTAAAGGGGCTTCCAACTGTTGACTGGAAAAGTTCTGTCAAGATACAGAAGCCCTCGGAATACCAATTCCTGAGCTGGTTTCAGAGAGTCTGGTTCTAAAATCAAAATAATCCAGAACATTTCTCAAAACATTATGCAGGTGCCCAAGTTTTTCTTCATAGAACATTCCTACTAATGAAAATTATACATTAGACAGTGTTTGTTGGCCTTGATTATAGATGGGATGCCTCTTTTCACAGTATTAGCTGATGTAACTTGAACTCTGAACAGTGTGGGCATGATAAGTCTTTAATCTCAAATCCTGTAAAACTATTCTATACACAAATTCACTCACACATTAATACTATGATGGATGCTGATGTTTGTAATTAAAATATGCCAATGAATCCACATTACATTCTACTGTATATATTATATTGCAGTTTAAATGAAAAACAATATCACAATGACTCCCTTGGTACCCATCATTAGTCTGGTGTTACATTTCCCTCCAGCCATAGTTGCAATTATAACTAACATGCCACCTTCATTGATCTTCCCAGGCCCAAAAGGTCTAATGGGAGACCTCTAGTGGGCATGGGGTGTGTGGGCAGAATACCATACATTTATCGCAAATGAAACAGTGGTAAACTATCTTGGCTAATTTAAAAATCTGAATTTAAATCTTATCGACCAGGGTAAAAAAATATACACTCTAAATATTCAGCTTTCATCAGTGCAAAACTGAAAGCCCTCAGTCAGGGGTGGGGATCATGTGGCCCGTCAGATGTTGCTTGAGGGCAAGTCCCTTCAGCTGAAACCATGATAGCTGATGGTGATGGATGGCAGAAGCTACAATCTAGAGGGCAGCTGGCAGGCCACACATTCTGCCACCCGTCTGCGTCTCCATCCTGTTTTCTGGACACCACAACTAATGCTTTTATACACGTATAAATATAAATACTTTTATACATGGTTCCCTGCTTTTCAATTAATTGTCCTGGACAACCTGTCACCTTTCTGGATGTTGTTGTTGTACAGATTCCATCATTCACAAGCACTAGCCATACTGGCTGAGGCTGACATTCTGCCACCCGTCTGCGTCTCCATCCTGTTTTCTGGACACCACAACTAATGCTTTTATACACGTATAAATATAAATACTTTTATACATGGTTCCCTGCTTTTCAATTAATTGTCCTGGACAACCTGTCACCTTTCTGGATGTTGTTGTTGTACAGATTCCATCATTCACAAGCACTAGCCATACTGGCTGAGGCTGACAGGAGTTGGAGTTGTTTCTGGATGTTGTTGGAGTACAGATTCCATCATTCACTAGCACTAGCCATACTGGCTGAGGCTGACAGGAGTTGGAATCCAGTGGCATCTAGAGCAGTGGTTCTTAACCTTTGTTACTCGGATGCTTTTGAACTGCAACTCCCAGAAACCCGTCCAGTAGCATCTAGAGGGCCATAGCTTCCCTACCCCCAAATAAATCCTATAGTCATAAATCCTGAGCAGGTCTTTGGTTTCAGCTATCCTAAACCAGCATTCCCCAACCTTTTCCAGTACATTCTTGCATGGGCGCGCGCGCACCTGCACCGCACCACCATTTGCACATGTGCGTAGGTGCACACGGGCCCGCATGAGCACGCACCACCATTTGCGCATGCACATGAGTGCCCATGTGCATGAGCAAATGGCAGCACATGCTTGTGCAGGCCTGCACGCACCCATGTGCATGTGCAAATGGCAGCGCAGCACTCGTGCAGGCATGTCGGAGCATGTGTGCAGGCACAATCAGGCGGAGTGGGGGTGAGTGCGCATGTGGGGTGGCGGGAGGTCTCTCTTGGTGTCCCGGTCTGGCGATCGTGTAGGCCTGCACGCACCTACAGTATGTGCATGTGCAAATGGCAGCGCAGCACTCGTGCAGGCATGTCGGAGCATGTGTGCAGGCACAATCAGGCGGAGTGGGGGTGAGTGCGCATGTGGGGTGGCGGGAGGTCTCTCTTGGTGTCCCAGTCTGGCCCACGCCATGGACCGGCAATGGGCCACGGACCGGGGGTCAGGGAACTCTGTCCTGAGCCATGTCTTATATTTGGTTCTAACCGGTCATAGAACATAGCCCAGATGATGTGAAATCCATACCTGCGTAATGGCTTCCACAACACACTCTGGTAGAGGTCCACTGTTACCAATGCATGTCATACATCCGTAACCAACCACATCAAACCTGTGGGGTACAAGAACCAGATTATGTTATCCAGGGATTTCTGTGAGACAGGGGGGAAAAAAATTACACAACTGCAAAATATACTGCTTGCTAAAAGGAGGACAGTATTATTTATACTGACATACAAAGCTTTTTTTATCCCTTACCAAAATGCTATTTTGAGTAGAGGTGTCTTTGAATTGTACCAGTAGCCATGGAAAAAGCAGAGAAATACATAAGGGGATACTGCCTTAAGTGCCATGTGCTGAATATTTCTTCTGTCAAAACCATAACTGCTAGACACACCCATCTGAGGCTTATTTCATATATGTGAGAGGAGAATCAACTGGTAACTCTAAAACTGACTTGGGACTGGACCATTTGAAACTGCAGCTCGAGAAAAGCCTGAGTTGACTCAATGAACAGTTTTCTAGCCTAGCTAAGGTTTCTTTCTGCTAGGCTAGCTTTGCAAGGGTTGAGAGGAGAGAGTTTTTTTAATATGTACTACAGATAAATATTAATCATGCAGTCTCCTTACTGTGGAACAATGTGGGACAGACAAGGAACAGTTATATCAACAGATACACCGTTTTTGTAATGAAAGACTTGTCTGCAATTGCAGTCACACAGTGGCTAAAATTGTTGCTTTGTTACACAAAAGGAAGGATATTCAGCCATATATAGCTAAAATTTACAAGCTCCTACTGGGATTTGGTGGTGGGGGGCATACTCAATAGCTTGGTATGTTGCTAAGAATCTGAGCAGAGATTCAATAATTGCCAGCTGGGGACAAATGAATGTTCCATCTTTTGCCTCACAAAGCAACAGGATTTCAGCCGATCCAAATACAGTACAGTATACAGATGAAGAGACATACACCCTGCCTTACCATACAGTTGAACACATGAACTGGGCTTATACAGAACTAGGGGAAGGATGTTGCTGGAGTGCAACTTCCATAAACTCTGGTCAATACAGCCAATGGCAAGAGATGATGGGACCTGTTGTCCAGCAATACCTGAAGGGCCACATATTCCCCCGTTATAACTGCTTTGTGTTTCTATTGTTTCTAGCTATGTACAATACATCAAAGAAACAACTGCTATTAAGGGAAATATGTAGACAACTACAGTGTGTGTCTGTATATGTGTAAGAGAGGGTGCAGAATTCAGCACTGAAATACAATCAGAGGAATCCCCACCAAGCTTGCAGAAAAACCAAAAGTGACATCTCTTACCCTAGTTGAGCTAGATAAGGCATAACTCCACTCTCCCGCAGATAGTATGTGACTACTCCACTTCCTGGAGACAGGCTAGTTTTAATGTATGGCTTCACTGTCAGGCCAGCTTCAACAGCTTTCTTTGCAAGCAATCCTGAAAAAATCACAACACAGCTACAAGCACCAATGAATGCAGGAAGATACCTTGTTCTGAAACACATCCTTTGTACTTCTGACCTAGTCCTATTAATTCTGGTAGGGCCTCTCTAAAGTCTCAGGCAGAATAATTTCTCTGCCTACAAATGCAATGTTAGGATGGGTACTCAAGGTGTCCTGCATGCAAAGCACACAGTTAGGATCTGCTGCCCTCTCCTGCTTTCCTCCAGGAAAAGGGAAAGAACCAGCAACCTCCCTGACCTGCAAGTGACACCCCTGATCAACCAAGTACCAACTAACCAGCCTAAATGTGCACAGTGGGATTCCCTCTGAATAATGGAAGAGTTGTTATGAGCCACTCTAATAAAAAGCCCATGTTGTTGTAAGCCGCCCAGAGACCTTTGGGGCAGTGTGGGCGGCATATAAGTTAAATAAATAAATAAATAAATGTTTCATCGGCCGTCTGTTTTCGAAGCTACAGCAGGGCTGGCCCAAGACATTTTGCTGCCTGAAGCCAACAGTGACTCACAGTTCGTCCAAGTCAAAGACAAACTGTGTCCAGTTAGTTTGGTACCTCACGACCATGAAATTATGTCCAAATGCATCTGTTACATGGTGTTCAAATCTGCCCCTTTTGCTTTGAGCGGACCTTCTGCCCAAATAGCTTTATACTGGGAACAGCTTCTTTGAAATGAACATTAAATCTGAGCAAGTGTAAACTTTTAGACACATAGACTACTGGATCTGCAGAAAAAGCACAAAATATGTACTGTACGTGGAAACAACCACTGGACTTGAACCATGTTCCTTTAGATCAGTGATTCCCAACCTTGGATCCCAATTCCTGGAAATCTTGGCCAACACAGCATGCGGTGAAGGCTTCTGGGAGTCTGTCCAGGAACTTCTGGGGACCCCAGTTTGAGAACCACTGCTCTAGAGTCATCACTCCAAAATTCTACATAATCAAATTTTAGATGCGTCCCCCCCACACACCCCAAAATCTATCTTGCTAAACCTAGCGTTCAGTATGCTGTGGGGATGTAGTCTTCTTCTCTGAACAAGGAACAAAGGATCTGTACAGATTTTAACTGTGTATATTCATCATCCATAAGGGGATCACTCTTTAAGTTTGGCCCTGGTCCAAAATGGTTTTATCTTCCTCCTACACATGAAGAGGAAGAGCTCCACTATCCATGTGGACTCTTCCCTTGAGTTCAGACCCTGATTTTCCAGGACCCTCACAAACATGAAGAGCTCTCATCAATAGTGGAGCGCTTCTTCTTCCAACTTTTCCCACACAGGAGAGCAATGGAAGTGACAAGGAAGGAAGGTGGGACTAGAACATTTCCTTCTATTTGTGCTGACTGTGCACAGATAGGTAATATCTGAATAAATCTACTGAAAGAGAAGTCACAGATCCAGTAGAAGGGGGGTCTGTGCTTATATGCCAGGAGGCAAGCCCTGTTCACCAAAGGTGACCAACTGACCATTTCTACTTGGCATGCCAGGATCCCTTTGCTACACAGATGTAAAGGAAGAATAGGTGAGACAGCAGCGGTAAGGCAGTTGTGCCATAAAAGTCCCCTCAAGTTGTCCCTTCTCAACCTCAGAATACAGAACTTCAGTAGAACGATGCATATTCAGTGGTGAAACTGAATGGAATATTAGAAACTTACCAGCTCCTAACATAACAGAAGGATTACTTGTGTTGGTACAGCTGGTGATGGCAGCAATTACAACTGACCCATGTGTGAGCTCAAACTCTTGGTCATTATAAACAAATTTTGCCTGGTCGTTATGATGTTCAGGTGCAATCTGGAAACCTTTAAACCCTTGCTATATCAGAAAGAGCAAACAAGGAAACAAAAAAGTTCAAATGATAGGAACGAGCACTCGGAACAGAAAAACAAAGAGAGTGAACGCTTTTTTCTGTGTTGGCTATTCTGGTCACCCAAAAATACCAAAGCCAGATTTATTTCATCAGGGAATGGAATGAAAGTGGGACATGCAGTCAAGTATGACCGGTGGGCTCAACCCGCCAGTGCCTTCTTCCAAGACACCTGGGTACCAATCCCTTCCACCTCCTTTCATCTTTCAGTTTTCAGTGACCCTTCCATGATACCTACAGGAACTCTGTCCTCATTGTTATGCTTGGACTCCCGGATGAAGTCCGAGACTGATCCATCTTCCAGCAAGGAGAGCATCACTAAACAAATGTATGCACTGCTAGCATGATGGAACCCAAACCATTATATTAAAAAATTAATGCAAGTGTAAGAGATAGACCAGATATCCTGTTGAATCAAACATTAAATGGACAGAGAGTTCAGTAGGCACGTTTCTCAAATGGAAGGGAGCTGCAAATGACGAGCCTAGAAATTCAGACATGTTGAACTCTGGAAATGTAATTCTGAAGCAATATTAGTTCTTCAAAGAAGGGTGGAAATGGAACTCAGTTGCAAAACAAACAAACAAAGCCCTTTACCTTAGCTCCCAAGCAGGTTTCAAAATCCTTTTTCATGTCAGAAACAGCAACCTTGTCCTGCGGTCTTTTAGGGCCACTGCAGCATGGCACAACCGTTTGCAGATCCAACTCCACAATCTACTTCAAAGAAAGGAGGAGCAAATGAAAGAGAGGATACTTAAAACAATTTTTGCCCCTACGGATGCATTCAGCCACTTACAGCGTTCCAATCAAGGTACGATATTCTGCTCTCTTCCCCACCCTTCAAATCCACGATTGATGTAGGCAGTTCCTACTATTTCAAGACCCCTACTTTTCTCAGGCATCACTAGCAGCAGGGATTCTCAAAGCTCTGAGAAATGAAAGTTGATCTGAGGAAAGTTCAAAAGTAGGAAAACCCACCTGGGTAAAACTGGGATCCTGAGCTGAGTTACTGAAATCTCTGAACATTGCTGAAGCTTCAAGGTATTTTCTTATATGTTTAATTTTTTCTGGATCACGGCCTGAAGCAGACAGAAACGACTACTCAACCCAGCTACAATATCATGGACAGTTTCTTACAGAATTCAATTATTTAGCACAGTATGTACTATTTTGAAAGAAGATCTCCACAACTAAGCCACATGCAGATAATTACATAGAATACAAAAGACTGGAAACAATTTTACATGCTAGGCCCTTCCATGTACAAAATGCTTACCATATCTAAAAATTTAGGAGCAGGATGGTGTGAAAGAACGTATTTCTGAATGAATCTACTCTATCCAGAATGACATGCAGCTAGTTAAGCTTTTGATATAATGGACACATGTTTTCTAGAGCATGTTCCTGAAGCATAGCTTTGGGCCTAAATTCAATTTCTAGTCCCGGTCAGAACAAACTCATTCAATGGTGAGTCAACATTTATGCAAAGCCAATTGATTCAATGGGTCAACTCTTTTTAGGATTATGAACTGGATTCAGACCATAAATTACATGGGTGCCTTTTGGATGCTTTTGTATGTGAAATGTTGTAGGTATTTATCCTGATACTTGCAGAGAGGCACTTAAAATTCTTGAAATCGTTTACTTAACTGACCTACCCTTGGGTCAATTTCTCAGATTAGCATATTTTTGACTGCCTTTAAATTTTAGGACTATATACAGTACATGGAACTATAAATTACAAGAGTTGGCACATTATTAGCCACATCAGCTGTTAAAATGTTTTATCAGCAGGAACTGTATGACTGGCCTATACACATTTGCTTGAACAATCAGCACTTGGAACCCATTCTGTATTTTACATTGATCCAAATTGTGTGCAACGTTGCCATGGCCAATTAACTGAAGTAAACCTACCTGCTGCCTCTGTATCAGATTAAAGACGGAAGTATATTGAAGCCCACATAACAGTAATATTTCATTTTCTCCTCACACAGTAGAGATAGGTTGAATCCACATAACAATGAAACAAGCTTTGTTATTATGAAATCTAACATGTGGAGCCTTGGCATTCACCCCATCACTCCTTCTGTACATAAAGGGAGAGAAGTAGTTTTCTGTTTGAGTAGAGGTGAGCAACACGTGGCCCTTTAAATGTTGTCAAACTTGTAGCTCCCCTTAGTCCTCGTCAACAGAGCCAATGCATAAGAGATGATAAAATGTACTGTTCAGCAATATCCAAAGGGCACAAGTTGCTGACCCTGCATCATAGCTTACAACAAACCAGAGTTTTCAATTTCACTGAAATACAACGAACTGTGGCTTTTGCAAACCAGGGAAACAATTTATTTATTTTTATTTTTTTATTTTATTTTATTTATATCCCGCCTATCTAGTCGATTAAGACCACTCTAGGCAACCATAGCTTGCAGAAGAAACAATCTGCTATATTTCAATGCAAACTGCATTTGTTGCAAACAATGAACAGAAGCTTCTTCTCTAAGCCCTTCCCTCGATACTCAAAAGGTGTGTGTGGGGGGGTTGGTGGGGGGAAATGAGACAGATGACCTCTGTTCATTTTTATAATGGCAAACTGTGTTTTGCCAGTTTGCCTGAATCAGATTTTGGAAAAGTCACTGCTTTGAACCATAATTCTGGAACTCTCTAGCCACCATGGCTACTATGGTTTGAACTGCTCCATACTTCTTCCAGCTGTTAGTTCAATTTGAGCTAGAGTGAAACGAGTCAGTCCAACTCTACACAAAACCAACAAATCTTTTGTCTGTATTTCAAGAATTCAGATGTCTTCCTGCCACTCACCTGTTTGCACCAGATACGTGATGCTAACTTCATCAACTGGGAAGAAAGCTGCAGTCGCTCCATACTCCGGGCACATGTTGGAAATGGTGGCACGATCTGCAATGGACAGCTGAGCAACCCCAGGCCCAAAGAACTCTACAAATTTGCCCACAACCCCAACTTGGCGGAGATGCTGTAATGAATTAAAAGTTGTATTCAGTGAGCCTTACTTTATGCAGCATTTTTAAAGGCTATATTCTGACACAGCTGTGCTGTGATCTCAAATACAAATGTGAAATGTGAACCTCTCATCTCAACAGAATCATTCATAGAGCCTGACCTGAAAGCTTGTTTGTTTGGAACAAAGTCCCAGTGACCCACGTTTGTCTCCTAATAAGCACACTCAGGACCGTGAACTTAGTTTTTCTGTGCCATTGGCCTTTTATGTCACCCACTTACGGTATCACATATTGATTTGAATGTGAAACTACAAAACTCAAAGCAAAAAAAGGGAAACACAGCAGTGTGGTCCATGAGCAAAATCCAAAATGAAGTATAATACTTTTATTGGACCACTGAAATATCACAAAGTGGAAACTTTCAAGTCCTCCAAAACTCTTGGAAGTCAGCTTCAAATCCAAGAAAATCCAAGAGATGACAAAACAAAACAAAATGAAAAGGACAGAAACTGAACAACCAAACCGTTCAACTATATAGCCATGAAGGGGTCAACAGGGTCACATAAGTAAAACAGCTTTGAACTGAGAGAGGTATGACCAACCACAACCATAAAGGCAGAGAAACTAATGAAAAAGAGAAGATGCGTGACAGAAGAAATATTAGGGATGAAAAGGAGACAAAAACTGAAAAATAACAAGAACATCTTATGCAGAGAATTACACAAGGTTATTCAAAACAAAATTGGAGAAACGAAAGAAAAACCATGGTCCAAATCCTCTGCAGAAATGGATAACTAGAAAGACCAACAATCTTTTAATGTGCAGAAAAAGATCCGGGATGCAGTGAGCCTGTCCCAAAAACAACAAATGCCCACCACTGATAGTCAGAAACAGTTCTCAGATATTTGATCTCAACAGTAAGATCATAGTGTGCAGTGATTATGAGCTACTAATGTTGAGAACGGTGACCTCCATTCCTTGCCCTAGAAACTGGGCAACAGTGATCCTTGGTGTCATGAACCATAGTTTCATTACCTTGGTAACTGTGAGTACAATGTCGGTGGAGGTGACAAGCTGCTGGGGACTTCCGATGAGCTTGTAACCAATCACTTCAGGAAGCATCATGCTGATGGGCTGCCCTAGCATCACAGCTTCAGCTTCAATGCCACCCACACCTGGGCAAAGACAAGAAGATCATCAAACACAACTGTCCTGTTCTTAGGCAGCCAAACAAAATGCAACTAGCTAACAGAGAGGAAGAAAAGAAAACGGAGTAGCCTCAAGTGTGGGCAATGCAAATAATTCTGGATGTTTTACAGTTTTAATTAACATGGTCTTCAGCAAAATAATTTACGGACCATAGGAATACCAGAGAAGCCATGCCAGATCAGATCACTTACCAAAGTCCACAAGCAGGACATGACAGAAAAGCAATTATCCCCACTCATTCCAAACAACAGATGCCAACTTAATAACTATGGTTAGCACTGAACAACCTTTTTAAGGCTAGCACAATTCTCTTCCAACATCACACATCAGAGGAGCTGCTGTTCTGCAGCTAATATTATACCAAGCATAACAGTCCTTAGTTAAGGTGACCTGCTGAACAGAGAGCATGTGGGGAAACTGTGCCCTAACATCTTTTGTTTAAGAAAAGGATTCGGTGTCCAAGTCCCTTTGGGGCAGGGATCTGTCACCCTGTGGCTGCTAAAGAAACATGTCCTCCTGTCCTCTTTTGGACTTGTTGTATAACTTCTTAAAAACGTTTTTAATTTTTTCTTAAATAATGGTGGATTTTAAAAATGTTTACAAGTTTTTTAGTTTGTTTTTAGAGAATGTTTTCTTATCTGCTATTCACTGCTGTAGGAGTTCCATATGGTACTGGAAGAAAGGTCAAATATGTGATTTGCTAGGAGATGGTGAATTACAGTTCCTCTAGAAACATAAAATACATTATTGTTGGGTTTTCTTTAAATGTAAGCACTTGGACTGGAATTAAGCAAGGTTTTCACTGGACTGTAATATTCTAACCATTTAGCCTTGTTTGGGTGCAGAAAGAGCAGTTGGCTGTTGTTTATGTTGAGTACAGTTTCATTTTTGAAACCTGGTTCTTAACCATTTGTTGAAAGTTCAATGTGTCCAGAATCTAAACAAATGAGTATTGTGGGCTAAACTTCATCTGTCAGAGCCAAACAGAGTACACCCAGTGAACCAATGGGACTTTCGAACCTAGCACACGCACAAATCACATTGATGAATGGGTCTATTCTAGCTGGACTAATAATTAAGATTCATGCCTGTGAGTCTTGACATTCTCTGTCTCTCTCTCTGATCTTCCCGCTTACCCTGAAAATTAACACAGCCGCCTTCATATTAACTCCACTGCCTTTTATCAACCCTCGGTGTCTCACTGCAGGCTAAGTTGCAAGTGATTTTTCAGCTCTCTTAATCACTCCTAATTTCACTTCTTTTTAAACCATGGCTAGGAGATAATATGGGTGTCATTAACCAACAAAGGATGGAACTGAGGAAGCTGACTTCCTATGAGCCAGTGTCTTGTTCACTACTTATCGTCATGCAGACCTCCAACTGCTGATGCTTTTGTCGCTAATCTGGCGAGGTGCCTGCCATTCACAACTAGATATGCGACCAGCACTTTATCAGATAATTGTGGTGATGTCCATAGCTGGTGCTCCATATGCATAAATACTGAATAGGATACTAACAGTTATATTCATGCCTTGTTATTAGCCAACACGGGATCCAAAAAAATGACTTAAATTAACGCACCATATCTTTCTGTACATAAGATGCCCCCATGTATAAGACGACCCCTACTTTTCTAACCCAACATTAAGAAATCAATATTTCAAACATAAAACAGAACATGTTTTTTTTTTTTAAAAGTATTCAAATACTAAAGACATATTTAGTACTGGTGATTAGGTAATATTTTAAAGATGAAGTGATGCATCACTCTCCATTCTGGGCATATCACTTTCTTCAACCTTGGCAGATGCAAGGATCCCTCTAAGTTGGGCACGCACGCACGCACGCACGCACGCAAAGTTCCCTCTAAGTTGGGCACACCCACGCATGCACGCGCACATACACACACACACAGACGTCTCTGCCTCCTTCCACAGAGCTTTCTTTCTCCCTCTGCAATTGTGTTCAACCCTTTAGGTTCCTTCACACAGGGGCGGGGGGCGGAATCGTGCATGCACACAGAGGCAATGTTGCACAAGAGAAAGGCAGAGCTCCATCCAGTGGGGATGAAAATTAGAGGGTACATTGGGCGGAAACCTCTTTGCAGAGACAAGGTATTGGAAGTTTTGCCATGCAACCGCGGGGTTCTTTCAGCTGGTTACCCCCATGTATAAGAGGACCTCCAATTTTTGGTCTAAAAATTTTAGAAAAAAGTATTGTCTTATACACAGAAAAATACGGTATTTACATTCTGCTAAATATCCAGTAAACAGGAAGCTCAAGTGTAAAGGTACATACCCCAGCCAAGCACTCCTAAACCATTAATCATGGTGGTATGGGAATCAGTGCCCACTACACTGTCTGGATAGTAGTACCCATTTTGATCATCCACGACTCTTGCCAAGTACTCCAAATTCACTTGATGAACAATCCCAGAGCCAGGGGGAATAATCCTCATGTTCTGGAAGGCTCGGGAACCCCACTGAAACACAAAATGGAAAAGGAGCAATTGCTTTGATCCAGGAAAAGGAAGATCTAGCCAGTGATTTATTCATTCATTCAAATTATAAAATCAAGTTGTGTCAGCTGGTATAAGGATTTATGAAGTCAGCAAGTCAATTGCATCTGAAGAGTCAGTAACTATGGCATTCAGCTGCTGACCCCACCCCTTAGACTTTTGGGTTCCATCCAGGTCTTATTGCCCAGTTTAGGATCACACCTCCATTTTTTCCTTACACAAATCTTTTTTATATATAACTAAGAAAGCTTTCTAGTGCTTTCTAGTACCTAGATGTTTAAAAAAAACTGTGTGGAGGGTTTCACAGGTGCTGAAGGGTTCCCAAAACATGGCATGATTTCTCCCACCCACTGCAACTCACAAATTGGTCTTTTCTTGTCACTTTTTTTTAAAGTTGTAAAAATTTGAGCAGTAATCTTGCTAGGAGGCCATGCTGCCCAATCCAGCCTACAGTTGGTCAGCTGCAAATTACAGAGTCAACAGCATTGGTTTATGACAAAAGAAGCATAATTCTAATTAACTGTTTCAATTGTAATTTTTATGATTTTATATATTTTATATTGTTCTGTTTTATTTATGTAACACATGGTCTAGAGGGGCAGGGTAAAAATCCAATAAACAAATAAATAAAATAATTACAGGAGATAAGCCAACACCAAAACTCTGAATTTGAGAAGGTCTGAGGTCTCCCTGAGTCTAGCAGGGAGTATATCCCACATACTTCAGTCTAAATCCAGTTATCAGACCAGACCAGAACCTCTAAATTAATGGATCTTTGGGAGGGCAACACATATAAGTTCCATGGATTCAAGAGATCTACTCCAGCTGAGACCAACAATGAATGGACTAAAGCAAAAGTACAACTTTTTACTACTATTATATGCAACAGCAAGTGGTCATAAGAGCTTACAAAATCAGCTTGGGAGACATATGCAGGCCATTGGCTATGTATAGGTTGCCAACCCCTGGTCTATAGTCTTAGGTTCTTCCCTTTGCAGCTGCCTCCTCTGATCCAGACTTAAGGCCATGCCCAATTTTTTCACTTGTACTGTACAGAACTGTGATCCCACAGTCTGCCCATCTTTTTAGACCTCCCAGATACTAGGTTCTCTAAAGCCACGGGGGTATATAAAGAGGATGGATACTTCCTCTACCTTTAAGAACTCAAATCTTTCTCTATTTCTTTCAAACTCCAGATCTTGATTCTTCTGTAAACTGTCTGGCCTGCAAGTAAAATATAAGGATTATCGAGGTGGTAAACCTTCAGTAGGGTCTGATGCGTGGGTGGGCAAAAAAAAAGAAAAACAAGCAAAGTGAGGTCTGTATTCCTTTAGCTCAACAATTTTATATACTTTAATTACCTTATACCAGGGAGTCAGAAAGAGGAGCTGCAAAGAGAGCTTAAGAAGCTTTTGCAGTAATTCCTACTGTCTGTCTCAACTCCTAAATGTAGGCATGTTGGATGAGTCTCACCTGAATGTGAAAGCAATGGAAAATGTTCTAAAACATTAATTATAGAAGCAGAAAAGATCCTAGTAGGGGGAAAATATTATATTGCTGATCTTGACTAAGTGGTGCAGTACTTCAAAAATGTACTGTGCACTTTAGAAGCACTGGGATGTAAGCCAAGATAAGAACATAAGAAGAGCCGTCCTGGATCAGACCAACACCCTATCTAGCCCGGCATCCTGTTTCCCACAGTGGCCAGCCAGAGGCCCACAAGCAGGACAGGAGCGCAAGAATCTCTTCTCCTGAAGGACGTATAGGGTATATCCACCACGTCTAGCGCTCATGGAGACCCTTCTCCTCCATAAAGTCATCTAAAGCTGATTTTAAAGTTGTCACAACTGATGGCCAGTGCAGCATCTTGTGCTGAGGAATTTCACAGTTTAACTATACATTGGAAGAGATACTTTTAATCTTTGCCTGTCAACCTCCACCTCCCCTCGACTAACTTCAGTGGATGATCCTGGATTCTAGGAATGTGTGACAAAGAATAATATCCCATGAATGAAAAAAACAACAGCATATTCACATTCACTTGCTCCACAATATGAATAACTCCACCATGTGTCTGTAAGGAAAGGGAACATGTGGGTCCCCATATGTTGCGGGGCTTCACCTCCCATCACTCCTGATCATTTGGCATACCACTGCATGGGATGGATTACAGTCCAGTAATATGAAGGATGGCCATAGGGCCTCTACTAGTGGAATTATCCACCTTACATGCCAAGATAATTTGGTCAGCTTTGGGTCTTGTTGGGACCCACTGATGATAGGAGGGCATTTGCTGTTCTGTCTCGGATAGTAAAATATCTTTGCCAAAAATGGAATAACAACTATTTAGATAATTAAAAATATGCTGCCCTTACATGACATGCTGTATCTACTGCCTGAAGCAACTGCTGCACTTTATCTAACAGTAGAAGACATGGGGATGAATAAAAAAAAGATTGCAATATTAGTCTAAAATTGCTGATTCATTAAATATTAGACCCTTCATATCCGTGCGTTACAGAGACCCCCACAAATACAAAGCGACAAATATTTTCCCATTTTTATTCATCCCTGTGCGTTCCAGAGACCCCCACAAATACAAAGTGACAAATATTTCCCCATTTTTATTCATCCCCCATACGATAAAAAAAGCCATCCTATGGCTTTTCCATTCTGCCTACTGGCCCACCGATCAGTTGATCAGCAAGCCAATAGGCAGCCGCAGCCCCCAGCCACCCCCACCCCTTCCTCTTCCTACCTCAGCTACCCCACCAACACCCCTTACCATAATCGTCGCCACCGCTGCCATCGTCTCCATCAGGCCTCCGCAGTCACGAACTGTAGAAAGGGAAACTGGGTGCCCTTTGCAAAGATGGCAGCTGCGGCTTCATTTAGGGTAGCCACAGCTGCCATCTTTGCAAAGAGGGGGAGGCGGCAGGGGAGGTTGCAGCAAGGGGGTGGCAGTGGCAGTGGCGTGGGGTGAGTTTTTTTAGTATCCCCATGAGTCAACAAATAAATTCGTTATTCGTCAGTTCATGGGGGCAACTTCGTGCTTCATGAGTCATCAACTTTCGACGACTCATGAAGCAGGACGATTTGCCAAAATGGTGAGTCGTCCCCATCTCTAAACAGTTGGGTGGGCTCTACTGTAAAGTGAGCCTTGTAAGGGTACACTGTTTCTACACCAACAATGCTCTCTGCAATTGCCATCTCTAAACAGTTGGGCTGGCTCTATTGTAAAGTGAGCCTTGTAAGGGTACACAGTTTCTACACCAACAATGCTCTCTGCAATTTTAACATACAGTACCTGGGTGAGAGGGGGAGCTGGGCGTCAATGCCTCATTATTTTGCACATTTGTTTATAGAACTTCCTATTACTCTCTGAGGACTTTCTAAAAGTCCCAATGGAAGAGGCAAGATCCTATGCCCTGCCTTACCTTTTATTAAAGTCAACTTGGATGGAATGATCAATCACTAAATCAGCAGGACAGACTGGGTTGATTTTTTCTGGGTCTCCTTCTAGGGCCTTCACAGCATCACGCATAGCAGCAAAATCAACCACTGCAGGGACACCACTATAATGGAACCAAGAAGAAAATGAGGCAAGTTTATAAAATAAACGGTGTATTTTAATGTAATTGTTTTCTTTGAAGTTGTCTCATGTTTTAATTGTATTTTTTTAAAATTCAGTTTTACTGTGAGCCTTCTTGAATCCCATTTTTGGGAGATAGCCAGGATGCACAGTGAATAAATAAAAATAGGTAGGCAGGCAGATTGGCAAGCAAGTAGAGGTAGACAGAATCACACTGATTTGCAAATGGCCTCCTAAAGCCAGAGGCACAAAGAGAAACAACCAGTAGTTGGAAACATACAGAATTCCAGCATTTGTGCTAAACTGCAAATTGCAACATGAAAGAGACAGTGTGTGTGTGCTTGTGTGTGTGTGTGTGTGTGTGTGTGTGTGTGTGTGTGTAAGATGGAATACACAGGTCTATAGCTTTTTTCTAAATACGTACTAGTGGACTACAAACTATGATTTGACGAAACTGTAAGTAAAAGTTCTGTTTCATAACACCAACTAAAATATTCAATTCATGAAAGAATATACAAATGCAGATGCTTAACTACATGAAAGGGGCGTGGTGGCGCTGTGGGCTAAACCGCAGAAGCCTGTGCTGCAGGGTCAGAAGACCAAGCAGTCGTAAGATCGAATCCACGTGACGGAGTGA